GGCAACTTAGCAAGACCACCGCAGCTTGGCAGGTTTCAAATTAGCAGCAGATTCAGTTGACACAGGAGGTTTCTCAGGCGGTTGATGTCTTCTCACACCCTCCATGCAGGGATGCCTGGAAGATTCGGACAGGACTCGCACTGTGTTGTTTTTTGATGCACGCAGGAGATACAATTGTTCTGCCAATCAAGGCAGCAAGACTACTGTTGCTTGATAGATGATAGGTTGGCTCAGGTGACACGAGTCTGCTCAGGTGACTTTTGGTGCTTTGCGATTGAGGGGGGTTGGGCCCCCAGCTTAAGGAAAGCATGTGGCGGCGTAAGGGCATGTAAGCTTCTTGCGTAAGGTCAGTGGGTGAGCGCATAAGCTACCCCTTTCCCGCGCACAAGCTCGCATATGCACCTTGGCGCAAGAGTTCCTTGCAACCTGGATATGAACAGGACATTTTGAACGTCGCTCTCCTGTCTTTTCACACCTTCCAGGTAAGTTTGCGTGCAACTCGGACTTGGATGTCCATCCTGCAAATTGAAGCCCGTGCGCCCTGTGCACATTGGATAGCAGCTGCTCGAAATGCATGGCAAGCGCAGTTGCTCCCTAGACAGCCACGACCGTTGCTTCCAAAGGCCAGCTGCCAAGTGTTGGCGGCAGCTGGCAGCAAGCAACTCGGCAAGACTACTTGGTAGGTTGCAGTTTGGGTTCAGGTGACACGGGAGTCTGCTCAGGTGGTTCCTGTTTTTCCACTCCTTCCAGGCAGGTTTCCTTGAAGAGACCGACCGGACTCAGACTTGGATGTCCATCCTGCAAGTTGAAGCCTGTGCGCGCCCTTTGCACATTGGATCGCAGCTACGCCAAATGTTGGGATTGCTGATGGCAAGCACAGCTGCTCGCTAGAGGCAGGACCACCGCAGCTTGCCAGGTTTTAAATTGGTTGCTGCTTCAGGTGACAAAAGAGGTTTCTCAGGTGGTTGATGGCTTCTCACACCCTCCATGCAGGGATGCCTGGAAGAGACGGACAGGACTCAGACCTGGATGCCCATCCTCCGCGCACGCGCTTGTCACATTGGAGAACAGCTGCTTGAAATGTTGAGATGGCAGATGGCAAGCACAGTTGCTCGCTAGAAGGTAACGACGGTTGTTTTTACTGTAAAGCCATCTGCCAAGTGTTGGCTGCAGCTGGCAGTAATCAAGTCAGCAAGACTACTGTTGCTTGATAGAGGATAGGTTGCAGAGTGGCCGCAGGCTCAGGTGACACGAGTCTGCTCAGGTGACTCCTGGTGAGCAGGGTTCCGAACCAGTTTGCTCTGCGATTGAGGGGGGGTGGTCATAAGGGCCGCCAGCTTAAGGAAAGCATGCGGCGGCGTAAGTGAAGCTCGTGCGCGCCCTTTGCACATTGGATAGCAGCAGCGCCAAATGGTGAGATGGCCGGGCAAGAGCAGTTGCTTGCTAGAGAGCAACGACGGTTTTTGCCAGTGGAGAGGCAGCTGCCAAGTGTGGGCAGCGGCTGGCAGCAAGCAACTCAGCAAGACTACTGTCGCTTGGTAGGTTGCAATTTGAGTTCAGGTGACACGGGAGTCTGCTTAGATGGTTCCTGTCTTTTCACACCTCCAGGCAGGTTTGCCTGGAAGAGATGGACAGGACTCAGACTTGGATGTCCATCCTGCAAGTTGAAGCCTGCACTCGCTTATCACGTTGGATGACAGCTGCGCGAAATGTTCAGGTGGTAGATCATTGCCGGGTTCAGTCAAATTGGATTAACCCTCTGGGCGTATGACCGGTTCCTTCGTTTGCTTGCAATTTCGGATGCGCAACCCACGTGAGCAGCGACTTTGGAAGGTTTGCGAGCCACTATCGGATGGCGAGGTCCGTAGTTTAGGGTGACTGGTTTCAAGTCAAGTCGACGAGGTTCACTAATATTCCCCATCCTTGCTGGGCATACCTCTTTGTAGAACACTGTAGTTTTCAACACTTTGAATCGAAGTAGCTGCTCTGAAGAACACATACCAACCACAAAGCTTGCCTCGTGGCGCTGCTTGCTTGTTTGCCCAAAGACAATTGCTTTCCGTAAACCAACTGCCAAGTGTCGGCTGCAGCTGGCAGCAGCAAGTCTACAAGACTGCTTTTGATCGGTAGGTTGCAAAGTGGGTGCAGGCTCAGCTGATACGGGAGTCTGCTCAGGTGGTTCCTACCTTTTCACACCTTTCCTACACGGATTCGTGGAAGAGACGGACAAGGCTCAGACGTGGATGTCCATCCTGTAAGTTGAATCCCGCGCACGCCCTTTGCAGATTGGAAAGGGACTGCGCGAAATGTTGAGATGGCATATGGCAAGCACGACATTGACTGGGGGCACAGGTGTTTTTCTGTTCGCAGGCACGACGGTTGCTTTCAGTGGAACAACACCTCCCAAGTGTTGGCTGCGCGGCTGCCTGCGAGCAACGTAGCAAGATTACCGCTGCTGCCGCTGCCTGGCAGGTTACAAAGTGATTGGTTCAGATGAGACAGAAATTAGAAACAGGCGCTTGACGCGCAGACGGCCATGTTCCTTCTTTCCTTCATGCTTAACTGGCTGGCCCCATCGAAGAATGGGAATTTTGGACATTCGAACATCTGGATTTTTGGTTTCCAGGAGGTTAGCACCCTACAACTTTTGGATTTGGTACTTGGGATTTTGAAAATCTTGAATGTCTGCCTTTGGACATTTTTGCACTTGGGGGGTGCTGGTGCAGGTCTCTTAGCCGATGCCCCGGGAGAACTTTTGCGCGATTTCACCAGGGGCTTTTTCACTTAAAGCGAATCTTTTAGCAGCCAAGTATAGTAGCTAGCGCGGATGTGTGGAGGGCTCCAATGAAGGGTTCTACAACCTCAATGATGAAGGTTCCTCTTATTTTATTTTAAGTGTTGGAGTTATGAAGGCAACTTGCCCAGATGTGGAGGGCAGGGTGTTTCCCCACTTTTTGCAACCAGTTGGAAGGCATCAGTTGAATGTGGGGCTTGTCCGAATGCGGGCCTCCCAACAAAAACGGCCTCTGTTCAAAGCTGGGCTGCTCAAAGACAATGCGCAAGCTCCTTGCCTTGGTGCGCGAAAGGAATTGGTTCCTTTTGCAGCGGAAGAATTGAGATTGGCCAACGACTGGTCTTTGAAAAGGAGTCGCACATACACCGGTCAGCATGGAGACCAAAACAGGTCGGAACCCAAAGCGAAGCCACGCCGAACCTCACCATTCCAGTTCCCCCCCCAATGGGGCCACATCGTTGAAGTAGATCCAACCATACCCTCTTTTCCCCACTAAAAAGGGACCTAGGGGTGAGACCCCTTGGTTGACGTTCTTTGGGTTTAACCCCCCATCAAGGCAGTCCATGTTGGTCCCCCTTGCCGTCTGGACCTAGAAAAATCAGGAAACCGGGCTGTCAAAACCAAAAGCGGGTCCAACTTAAATTCCTCAGGGTCAAAAGGCTAACCTAGCCGGCACCGCCCATTTTTGCGATGTACCACGTGGGGTATATGTTAACAGGGCCACATGACCATGACAGCTGGTGTGAAAAGGCCTCACATATATGGAGCCACCCTGAACAAAAACCCAAAGGAAGATTAGGGAAGGTTAAACCAAATTCCGGAAATTTTAGGGAGAATGAAGGACACGCAGAGGAAACTTCCATAGTTGGCGCTGCTTCATGGGGCTCCGGCCGATTCCGAGCCAATTCGGTAGGTTCTACTTGGTTTCATGGGGTAGTATGGCTCATTGACCGACCTTTACTTTGGTGCATTTTGCCAACGGATGTTAGGACTTTAACTTGCCAAATGGGTTTTCCGAACAACACCACTAAAAGTTCGTCACTTCTTTTGCAGGGGAGCATATTTTTCGCAACCGAGTAAAAGTCATGGGAGAAACGGGGCGCAGGCCTTGGACTCCGGCGCTCCGGAGCTGATCAAGCTCAAGCCGCTGCTTTCCGTGGGTAAATCGCGCCGTGACGGCGCGAACCGTTTCACCGTGGAAAACCGGGGATCTCCAAGGACAACCCAGGATGCATGGCTCCCTTGGGCTTGCCCTCAACATGACCTCGCAAGTTTGACCAATTGATTCAACACGGGGGTTAAAGGCGAAGGAGCTGACCCACAAAGTATCCTTTCTTGCGGATCGGCCATGCCATATTTACAAATCCCAGGTGGGGGATTGCTGGCATAACCCTGCCGCAAAAAACTTCAAAGGGACGCCAAAATAGCGCTGTAAAGCCTATGGGTGTACAGCAAAATACATGTCCTTTTGGTGTGCCTTTCTATGAAGCTGAAATGGAACCCTCGACAGGCAATCAGCCACCAATTGAAGGCTCCATACATGTTCTTTGGCTATGGTTTCCTCGTCTTCCTGGTTAACATGAGGTTTCGCTTGGTGTCCTGGTATCCTCTTTCTGTTTACTTGGGTTTGTTGTATGGTGTCCTTCTTGTTAGGGCCGATGCGGCATTTTCGGATCCCCTGGTCGAATATTGAGGAGGTGCAGCAAGACTACCGGAACGAGGCAACCCAAGAACTCAACCAAACTGTTTTCTAGATTGCTGTTTCGCCTTTGTAAGATTTTGTAGGTATTTCTTTTGTAGATTGCTGTATGGGTGTGCGTTCTTCTTGGGGTACTCTTTTCAGGTTGGTTTACAGGGAAGCCGAAGCCACCATTTTCGGGGTCCCCCTGTGGCACACATACCCACAGTTTCCTCACTTGTGCCGGCAACCTCTTCCTCAGCCCTGCGGGCCGTCGCCGTTATGCTGCTACCCTGCCGCCAAAGTGACCTCCTCCAAAAACTGTCTCCAAGGGTGCTGGATTTCCCTTTAAAACAACCCCGAAAAGACCAATACTCCAAACTTAGCATGAATGCATGGGCAGTCCTCTATTGACAGGTCAGGCTTAGAGTAGGCAATGCCCCTTTTTTCAGGCACTCTGTTGCTTGGAAAGGGGCCGGAGCCTACGCTGTGGCAGGATTTCACTTGCCGCCTCAATTTTGACGCGACATGCCGAACGCTTTCTGGAAGGCTTGTCTTGCTCTGCAAGCCACGAATTCGAGCCCCGGTTCGTAGAACGCGCGAGATCAGTCAGCTTCTCCCATTTTGGGTGGATTTCCTTTGGGTTCCCTTGAAAACAAACCAAAAAGGGGTACCCTCAAGAAAGACAGACCCCAATGGTTGGAATCCTCCTTAGTGTGCCATTGACCATCTAACTGCGGGGTTCAACCCTGCAGACAGACCCATGAGCATGTCTCCAACATAGCAAACCCCAAGATCCGAACCAGATACCCCAAGGGTTCACATCCGAAGCATCTCCTAGGTCCCCCAGTAGTGCCCTGTTACCCTTTTTTGGGGGAGGGTTCCCCTACTATAATAGACTACAGAAAAAAAATCGGGTACCCTTATTCTAACCTCTCTACTGGAGGACCTAGTCTCTTAGTTGAATTTGGTGGGCCACCAAGCCTTTTCCCTCCTGGAAACCAACCTTGAACATCAACCGACAAAATCACTCAAAGAGTGTGTGTGTGTGTGTGTGTGTGTGTGTGTGTGTGTGTGCGTGTGTGTGTGTGTGTGTGCCCCTTTGCGTGCCATTGAAATTCACTGGAGTCGCCGGTAAATCCTGGAATCGCTGGCCTCGCAGATCCGAATCTCCACATGTGGACATCTTAAGTGTCAATTCGATCTCACCCGCAGGGTTGGAGCACGTGTCCAAAACCCCTGCCATAGGGATTGTGTTAAAATAGGAGACCTTTTTTGATAGGTTGAACATGTGAGAGCAGCCAACTGGACGTCCTCCTGCAAAGGATTACTTGTAATGTCAAGAAGCAGCACATGTTCGAATGACGATTGCACAAGTTCCATGCTGCTCACCTCACTCTCAAATCTGCCACGTGTTGCGGGCAAAAGACGCGGCCGCACTTCCATGCTTTCCGAATTATCCTGGCTTCTGAAAGACAGCAACATTTGGGGTGACATGGGTTCTTCTCAAGGGAAATCCCTTGCAATGAGCAGTTTCCCTCAGGTGTCCCTTTTTTTAGCAGCCACACATTGAGAATTGCTGATGCCCCGTCCTGCGTTTGTTTTGGTCAACATGCGTTTGGGAATTCATTGGATCATATGTGCTCGAGCGTCACGGCCCCTGAAGGGTGGGAGTGATTGTGGGTGATTCACTGAATTGGGGGATCGTTCAACAGTTTTTGAGGACACCGTCTAAACAAAAATCAAGGAACCCCCGTTTGGTTTGCGCTTGTTGGGAAACCGAAAGGAGAACCACCAGTTTCGGGCCCCAACAAAAACAAGAAGCACGCATAGGGACTTTCGGCGTCGCACTTTGGTCTCGCCTCCGTTTCCCAAAGCTCCGCCTTATATCATGAAACCGGCAGTTTCGCGGCTCAAGGCCGTCCTGGGCCCCGGCTCCCAAAACGGGGCCCCCGTTCGAAGCCGCCGTCTTGGCGGCCTCAGCCGTTTTGGCCGCTTCTCCATGCGGCTAAACGGGGGCCAGGCGGGGCGAATTGCGCTTGAACAGCAAAGCTCTCTGAAACCAAAAGGAGGTTCTTGCAACACTGGGTTCTTTTACATGTCGGGTGTCCAAATATTGGGGAACCTGTGGATGTCTTCAAGACGGAACTTGTTCGGCCAATTTTGAAGAGCTGGAAGCGTCACTTCATGTTCCAAGTCCCAGCATTCGAAGCAGCCACTTGTTTGGTCACCCTCTTGAGGAACCCATTGTTTGAATACCCGCTAGGCTTAAACCCAGGAGGTGGTCAAAAGGGGAAGCCCTTCAAGTTTTTTGAAAATGGGTGTGTTTTTTGGGACCCCCAAAATGGGTAGTTTTCTTTTAATTTGTTTTTTTTAAAGCCACAAAAAAAAGGCCACATGAGCAACGCCCCTGTGTACTGCCATTTCCCGTCCGTTTTGTCTCGGGGATGTGAGGGCTACTCGCCAGAATCTCACGTGAGGGGACCCATCCAAAATTGCACCCCCCTGTTGAAATGAGCTCAATTGCTTAGTGGATTTTTCGTCTCTTTTTTCCACGTTTTTTTTTTTTTTTTGAAAAGGGTTCCGATTTAACGTCAGCCAACCCCAAAAAAACATCGGATGCCGTCTTTTGGCCCCTGGAAATGCACTTTTCTTTTGGGAAGGGTTCCGATTCCTTTAAAGTCAACCCAAACAAAAATAGATGCCGTCTTTTTTCGTATGGAAATCCGCTGGGTCGTGGGTCGTTTTCGTGGGTCGGCGCGAATCGAACGAACGCTCGGGAGGACTTCTCGCGCACCTGCAGCGCCGGCCAGTCCCATACCACGGCCGGCACGGCGCTGCAGAATGCGCTGCTGGGGAGCGGCAGGGCCAAGGCGTGCGAGTCCAAGGACCCGATGAGAAGGGCAAAGCACTAGGCCCCCCCAGCAATTGGTGCCCGACCTCTCACCCCTTTTTTGGTTGGGAGGGTTCCCCTACTAAAATTACTACAGGAAAAAAAAAAAACACGGGTACTCTTATTCTAACCACTCTACCGTTGGACCTAGACCAAGTGGCTGGACAGAAGCCCTTGGACCAGTTGGTAGGCCGGGTGATCCCTGAACTTTTGTTCCAAGCGAAAGTTCATGTCATGACCCTGGCGCACCCATGGAGTCTTTGACCATGGCACATATTCCAAGTGGCTGGACAGAATCCCATGGTTTGCCTTTCCCTGATGGTGGGATAAATAAGCAGTCCCCCTGGTAGTGTAGAAACCCTTGTGCAGAGGGGGCAACAGCAACCAAGAGTTGGTAGAGAAATTATATATATATATATATCACTTTGCTTTTCAAATCGGGGTTCAGGATTCTGGGAACACGTTGGGTGTGTTAGGCTCCATGTGAAAGAAGACTAAGTCGAGCATAGTTTGCCAAAGAGCCGGCCCCAAAAAGGCCCGAATTTGACAAACCTCCAGAAACTTAAACCGCATTCTGCAGAAAATGGACATTGAAGGCAACTTACAGGGAGTATATACTCGGGATGAACTATGCCCTGGAAAAGCTTCCATCTCTGCTGGGCTCCTAATCTTGCCAGACAATATGAATGTGTCCCTTTGGTATTTGAAGGGAAATCGAAATGACACCAATCAATTCAGAGTCGCCTCCAAATTCCGGGGAAGTAAGCACTTAGCTTTTGAGCCTGGGTAGTTTTCCCCAAAAGTGAAACACGTCGGACTTGCGGGAGTAAGCAAATCGAGAAGATCGCCATGTTTCCGGAATTGCCGAAACCACCAGTTTGTATTGAATTGATGCAATGTATCAATGTATATTAATTTTGATTCATATGCTCATCAACGTGCATTTCGAGCAACCGGTTTGGATGTGGCTTTTGTGGATCCACCCCTGTAGAATAGAAAAGAGTACTACAAGATTACCAAACAAAGACCAAAAGGGGGAAGAACGGGTGAAATCCACAAAAAGCGCATCCATGCCTTTGTCTAGAGCATTTGCTTGAAGTGTCACGCAAACATGGAATATTTCAGGTAATCCTCAATTTGTGGTTTGGATTGGTGGTCTGGGGACTTGAATCCCTGGTTCCTGTACAGAGTAATTGACAAAATACTCCCTAACCTCCAAACCACCAATCCAAAGCACCAACTAGGGAAGCCGAGCATTTACCAGTCATGACTTGACCAGCACGAACACAACAAACGGCCTGCAAGTGGAAGATCACACAGGGGTCCTTGCTTTTCCCAAGCAAACGCATAGGAATAACTGTTGCAAGCCCCTTAGATCAACATAATAATGCGATGCTTGATACTTAGGGAACTGTAAGGACCCCTGTTGAAGTTTGCTTTGGACTCGCACTCCTTTTTGGGGTAGAGAGTGGTTGTTTAGGTGTCCGCATGCGGTTTCATTTTCAAACAAATGGCCATCGGTCTGATTGATTTTACACCACCGGAATATTTGCTATGGTGTGCCATGGTCATAGCATGGGCTTGGTCTTTTGACCCTGGCACACATGTTGTCTTGCCACAGAGTGGTATGATTCTGAATTTGGGTTCTCATAGCTTGAGCCATGTTCGCAAATTTCCATGTGCTCACTTTTCTTTGGGGTGGGGGGGAACCTTAGGTGACTTGGGCATGGATAGGGGAGGACACCTTAGGTTACTGGAGGATGGATAGGAGGTGGGGATGGATAGGGAGCCTTGGGTTGCTCGGGGGATTGCGGGTCTGGATGGGGGGGGCCTTGGGTTGCTCGGGGGATGGGATGGATGGGGAGGACTTAGGTTACTTGGCGATGGATGGGGACGGGGGGAGGGACCTTAGGCTACGGGCCAGACGGATGCTGCCAGGAGAGTCTCTGGCTGCCAGCGCAGGCGCTGTGCTCCACACAGCTCCCCAACTCCACCATCGGCGCCCGGGCCCGTTCCTTCGGCCCATCGGGGGCTCCGCGCCCGGAGGAGGCCGGTGAGAGCTTTTTCCACTGGCGGGTTCCAAACTCGGCGGTTTGGCTGTAGGTTTGTTTTTTTTGTGGTCTTGTTGGCTTTGCAACTTTGCTGGTGCTATAGGCGTGTTGTTGGGACGGCGTGAAAAACATGATCTTACAACCTTGACCTCCTGTTTCTAGGTAAGGTATATGTTCCCCCCCCCAAAAAAAAAAACAACAACAACAACAACGTCTAAAACAACAAAACCATGAAAATAAAAGGGACTCATTCCCCTGAATTTCTGGGTTTGTGATTTTGAAGCTGTGAGGCTTTGAGGGTATCCTTTTCAGGTAGGCGCAAAATATTCGAAGAGGAAACCAAGAATCACGCCTCCAAAAAGTGTGGCGTGCAATGCGGGTCTATTTTTTTGGGGGTACCTTGATGGATGGTTTCATATGGTTTCAAAGGGAACCCCAAAAGGAACCCCAAAGGGAACCCCAAAACCCCAAAGGGAACCCCAAAGCAAAAACCGAAAGCCACCATATGTTGTTACTTCTTTTTTGGGGGGGGGCGGGGGGTCCAATCCCTAAAGACGAGCCACCCGTTTGGAGGTCCCCCACTGCCAGGTCCGCACCCAACGCCTTCCGGCGCCGGCGACGCCGTGGGTGCCATCAGCGCCCTCGCAGCCGCGGGAGCGGCCGGCGTCCGGGCGCGTGCTGGGGCCTCGCGGGACGTGTCTGGGGTGTTTCTCAAAATGGCTTGATGACCCCCAGGTAGGGTTCCATTGTTTGATTGTAGGCTTCAACCCAGTGGTCAAAGCTCAGCTTTTTGAGGGGGACCCCCAAAATGGTGGAGCTCCTTTTGGTTGCCCTTGAAAAACCCACAACAAAGAGATACCCTCAAAAAGAGAGGGACCCAAGAGAGGAAGATTAGGGATGGTCCCAACAATGAATAGATGCAGCAGCCTCAAGTCTGTACATGTGGTGGTAAGGTAGAGTATTAGAATACGAGGTTTGATTGTGACTCAAATGAACCCAGCTTTCGGGAAACCAAAGGAGCGACCTCCGAGTTACGTTGGCGACTGATTCGATCGAGTTGCCAACTGGGCTCGGCTTGGGCTTTGATAGCAGGATTGCCACGAATCAATCGGACCTTTCTGGAGCAAGCTCAGCGATCAGGGGCAAAACTCGGGAAAGCCCAGGACGGTTTCTCAGTTTCTGAAGTAGAGTAATACACATCCCAAAAAGACTGGAGGTGTTTGTCTTCCGATTGTGTACCCTGTTTGAGATGTGCGACGCCAGTCAGAATTCAGAGCTCATGATTTGGAGATAAACCCACCAACCCAACTGGATGTTTTGCATGCCAATCCCGAACTCTCCTAAGGCGCGCGCAGACGGATCCCGGCCACGCGCTTATGGAAATCGGCTCCGACGCAGCGTGGGTTTGGTTCAGTTTGCTGGCTTCCTTTGCAGAATGCTGAAGGGCAGCAGGACCCCCGAAAGATTTGGGGCCCAAAGGCACACTCCTCGGAAAGTGTTTTTTCATGTGGGCACTGTTACGCAGGGGGGAACTACCAACCAGTTGTTCTAAGTAACCTCGCTTGTGGCTGGTGTGACAGAAAACGCATACCGGTCCCATAAAATTAAATTCCCCTGGGCGGTTTCGGTCCAAGTGCCAGGAGAGTCTGCACTTCAGCCCTTTTGAACCTCATGTCGACCCCGGAGAAACCCGTCCCATGAATAGAAAGGTCACCAAAAGTGGTCCAACTCCCCACTGAAACGGGACAGTCCCATATGAACGAACCGGGGGTTGGGGTCTCAGCCAAGGACCCACGATGTGGGGACGTCCTAAAGGAGAACGTCAGGACTGGGTCCCTTCAACATTCTTAGGGATTTGGGAGTGGTTTCCTGTAAAAACACAATTTAGAGAGTAGCTTTGAGGGTGTCACTTGAGTGCTCCAGACTTTTCTGCCAGAGTCTCAAAGCCCAAACTGCCTGCGTATTCCATTGGCTGGTCTAGGGCTTAGTAAGTTGTAAGAGCCCAAGGACCTTCTTCGACCGTATTGGGGCCTGGTAAGATGTGAATTTCAGTTCTGACCCCTTTGGAGGGGCGACTCCCTAGAGACTAATATCATTGCACAGTGCTGTAGCTCTGCTCCCATTCTCCTAGCCATTCGTCAATTTGTTTAGGCAATTCACAAACTAGTTTAGGGGATCATCATACTGTTCCTGACATATAATAATACATATTATGTAGACGTGTACTACTTGATGGCAACTCGATCCAGGAACCCCTGAAGCAGAGGCCAAGGCGTAATTGTGGGATTCGGGTTCATGATACCCAAAAACGGGGTTCCCTTCAAAACAGGCCCCCGGCGGGCGCATGGCCTCGGGGCGCTCGCTAGGCGTGAAGCCGCCTGCCGGGATGCGCACGCCCAGAGCCGTACGTGTCGGAGCCTTGGGCTTCGCGGAGGAAGCCGCGTCTCCCAGTAGTGCCCTTTTACCTGGGCTGTTCAAAGGTAATCATTAATCCTTACCTGGGATTGAGAGAACCGCAAAGGAACAACTGCCTCTCGTGGTTGAGATTCATTGGGTACCAGGCAAAGGTGTCATGTATCTGGAGAAAGGAACAAATAGCTTTTCCGCTAGGGTTGGGGTTCATTGGGTACGGATAGTTTGAAAAGTATCAGGTAAAATCTAGTAGCAATGCTGGTTACGTGCTATCGGACCCACTCAAGGCAGTGGATTGAAATTGGGGTGTCTTGAAATTCGGAAAGCACCCTCTTTTTGTGCTTAGGAGCGCGAAAGAAAACCAACCATCCGGCAGGAGCCGTATCTTTACACATGTTTGTACAGCTCTACGCATCTTGTTCGCGTTTGCCCATCTCTTTAGCGATTTCAGCTACTATCGTACTGAAGGAGAAATGCACACCATGCCTACGTCTCTTTCTCCAGCTGCTTGGAGAAACTTGAAAAGTTGGGTTCTGTCCAAGCCGCTTTTTAGCTTGGTTTGGCTTAGGTGTATACCCTACACGTCGCCAGTTCGATGATTCTTTGCCCCTTTGCTGGTTTACACCCCTGTCAAGTGCGATCTTCGGGTGGAAGGGATGGATCCACCACCCGACTCGTTAAGCAAAAGTTTCCCTAGAAAACACAAATGGCCCATGAGACATTTGGAGACATAGCTTTTCTGCATACCTCTTGGGTAAACGGCCCTTTCTAAGGCCAGCTGTGCATACCGTATGCTCTCCAACAAGGCAACCAAGCAACTGCACATGGCACGGTGCCACTAAACTTGAGGGAGGCCCTTCATTGGGTTGTTCAAAGGCAATTCAGCCAGATCCTTTGCTTGAAGAGGTTGGGCTTTTGTGGGACCTACGGATCCATTTTGAAAAGTGCCTGGAAAAATGGGACCCTTGAAAGTGCCACGGAAATCGAATCCTTTTGGTGTCCGCTGAAGCGCCATCAAAAAGCGGCCGCTCTCAAGTTATCGGCGCCTTACTTCAGCATGTCTTTGGCTCAACACTCAGCACCTGAATGTGAACAGGTGCATCGTGGCGTGCTTTGACCTCAAAGGAATATATGTTTCTGTGACGCGTCGGCAAGCCTTTCAAGCAGTTCCATGAGATAAGCCTTGGAGCCCAAGACCTCAAATAAAGAGGCCTTTGGGGGGTCAAGGCCCGCATATTTACGGCTTGGGCCTAATATCAATTGTTTGGTGCTTCCGTTTGGAAACTTGGACTCTGCCCCAACCAGCAGTTCCTCATGCTCCATACGACAGCACCCTTACTTCACTCTTGTACCTGTTCACTCAAAATACCTTAGTATGGACCTTGTCAATCAAACTACCTGACAATGGATCAGTTTGTTCAAACCATAGAACAAGCGCCTCGCAAGTAGGCCTACTCGACACACCCTGAAATGACCTAATTAGCCAAGCTTCCTTTCCACGGACGTATTTATGCAAGGTCACACCTTAGACTTGTTCAGCGAAGCGTTTATCAGTGTTTCCCTATGTGAGTGTGTTTTTTTTAGGGGGACCAAAGCTGGCGGGTTGTCCCTTTGTTTTTCTTTAAACCCACCCGGACAAGGTACCCTCCAAAAAAAGACAGAACCCACATAGAAATCTGCACCCCGAAAGTTTGGAGGCGTTTCCTTTTGGATGTCCCTTAAAACCCCATTACCAACTCCAAAAAGCTCCGCGGCTCCAAAGCCAGCGCCGCCGGTGCTCACGCGCGAGCCGCGAGCCGCGAGCCGCGAGGCCTGGCAGTCTGCAGACGAGGCCATGGCCGCGGAGATCCGCACGCGGCCCCCGGGCGGGGGCCCGGACGTGGCAGTGGCTGAGGCGGGTCCGAGTGGATGCGTGCGGGAAGTTGTCCATGCGTTCAACGGTTTCAAAGGCAAACCAAAAGGAAACCAACTGCTTTTTTGTGGGGAGGGGGCACCCAAAACAGGAGTGCCGGTTTTTCCACCGCGGGGAATTGCATTCCTTGATTCCAATAGTAACACAAGACGAAGCTGTGCAAATCAAGTCTGGGCGTATGCAATCAACTAGGAGCGCTGAATGGTGTGTGCAGCAACTTGTTTTGGGCCACATTTGAATCTGATTCGGGTAAGTGAAGGATAGCAAGGGAGAACCATAAATGGGTGCGTCCGCCCGCTTGATTTAGCAGGGGATCTGAGGACAGCCCAGTTGCATTTCACCCCGTGCATGATGAAAGGAGATTTAGGGTTGAGCATTGATCCGAAACGGGAGGTTTGCTGGGGAGATCCAGGGTTGGGGTCTGGGAGGGGCCCCCTAACTGAACCCATTCCCGCAAAAACAAAGAGAGCTTTCGGAACCCCAAGAGACCCTGCAAGTCGAGGCGTTTCTGCGCAAGGACCCATGCAAAAACCCAACCCGAGGGCTAAACCTGCAAACGACTCGAAACGAACGGCCCACTCAGTTGCGACCAGTGCGGAGGTGGTCCACCCCTTTTCCGTCCAAGCCAGGAGAGTTCACCAGAAAGTTTGGCTTGGGTGTTGGGTCTTTCTTGGGTTTGGATGTCTTGTGAGATCTGAACTCGGGTTCTTGATGGGAAACCCAGTTGAACACGTCCAAACCAGTGTCCAACCAGAGGAACTGAAATTCGTGCATCCCAGAGGAAGACAAAACACCACATGAAGCAGCACGGTACAAGAACCGTGTGTCGCTTTGCCGCGGGAATCCACGTACTCAAGTCCACTCGGACTGCAAGAACCTTGGATGCCTTTTGCTGCCATTTCCCGCGGTAGGCGACGGGAGATTGTGTAAAGCCAGGAGAACAAATGGGGTTGCCGGGTTACGTCGGGCACGTTTCCAGTCGTTGGTTTCCTTTGGTTTCCCTGTGCCACCCAATGAGTTTGCTACCGGTCGATGTTTGTTGGACAGCGAACGGCCGCGAAGCTCTGGTCCTATTCCCAAACGGGTTGTCCCCTTCGGGGAAGCGCCAAGTGAAGTTCCCGAGTTTGTCCAACCGCCCCCCCCCCCCCCACCAAAAAAGAGATTGAACATAAATAAGATAACATCATGATAAACATACAAACAAATACAGCGGCCCTTCAACAAGGGCGCTAGGGTTTCGCCTGGTCACATCGCCCATGAACAGACCAGCAGCTTGCACAAAGGGCAGACTTGAAGACTGGTGATGGATTTCCAAACAGGAGGGACCTTTTTTTTTTGGAAACCTAAAAGGAAGCCAGCCATTCTTGGAGCTCCCCAGTTTTGGAAACACCTGAACGGAAGCGCAAGGTAAAGGATGCAATCAACTACCATGCTCAAGCACTACTGTGAAGATTTTAAGGATGAAGAATAGGCTCTCTAAGAATGAGGGACCATTGGTGGAAAGCAGCCCCCAAATTGGTGCCTTTTCGGACAGCAGACTCCCGAAAGGGCCCCAGTTTCACAGGCCAGGCGCACCAAGTGCGACTGGGAGGTGCCTCAAAGACTCAAAAGGACAGCAACGGAAAGCCAACGAGCTATTGGATTTTTGGGACTGAGTTCGAGACAATGACTCTAGGGAGGAGATGGGAGGACAGAATTCAGGTACGTGGTTAGCATCCCTGATTTCGTGGGTAAGTGTTCTAAAAAATGATCCTTTCATATCCTTTCCTGCAATGTAGCTGCCCGTTTTCTGCCTTTTGGCAGACACCGCAGTAGGGGTCGGTTCTTCTTTTCAACCGCCGTTCTTTGGAAAACAGGCGTTTCCATGGGGTTTCTGGAGAGTTTCCGGAAAGAATGGACATGGAAGGTCTGGATCAGTTTGTTCCACCTATTCGAAGGGACTCTGACCCTTCAACCAAATGCCGAGCCGCTCAGGATGCCGGCTGGGCACCGAACAGGCGCGAGTGAGCGAGGGAGAGCCCCAAGCAGGTGGAGCACCCTTTTTTTGGGCCCTACACCCCAATGAGCAATGAAACCAAAAGGGCTCCGATCTGCCTAACTGGGCACCAAGGTTCCTTAGCTTGCAAGTTTGTTGAAAGAAATGGGCAGGCCATGGCGAAACCAACATCGTCCATACAGAAACAGGAGAAGCGAGAAGCAATATGGGCGGCTCAAGATTTCAGAGCTAGGGTTACGCTGGTAGTCTTTGGGTCCATTTATCAAACTGCCATGTTGGTATGTTTTTGAGCAGCCATATGTTGTTTACTTTTTCGGCAGATTCCCCCGTTTCGTGGTGCATGAGGTGCTTGAAATGCCAACTGCTACCCTGACAACCATCCAACAAAGCACAGCTTTGTCACACCAAAAGTATGAGCAATTCCTTGAAGCCGTGGACGCCGTGATTAACAGCTCCCTTTATTGCCCGGTCGGACTCGGTATGTTCCAGAGCGCGATGCACCAGAGACGAGCACAAATCTGCTAGACGCAGTCCAAAGCGAATCGACCTTTTAATCGTTTGGGTTTTCCGTTTTCTATTTTCAGTCAAGGTTCCAAAAGGTTCACCTTGTATTTCCAAGGTCCTTTGGGGAAGTATTTGAACAACGAGCTGATGGGGTATGGTCCCCCAACCTCATACCGTTCCTCGTGCGAATTTTCGGTATGTCATGCGTGCACAATCCTGGAACCCGTTTAAATTTGGGCGCCACAATCCCCACGAGCCATTTGGTGGATGTTGCTGCCTGGTGTTATTGGCCTTTAAATAAGGCCTATATTGAATCATGTATGGCCATCTTAGTCAAACCTAGCAGTCGCATTTCGAACCACACGCGGCACGGTCGGCCAGGCAATTTTCGCCCGAGGAACTCCGGTACAATCCTATAACCCACCAGGCGCGCTTGTGACTCGGGCAAAACATGTTAAGCGTTGGGTGAATTGAAAGTAGATGGTGCCACTCTCCCCTGTTGGTTTGTGTATCCCCTATTGGGAGTTGTGCCTGCTTCTCCCTCGTGTAATACAGCCAACTTGTGGTGCCATTTGAAGGAAAACCAAAGGAGGCTCTTACAGCTTCTTTTGGCAGGGAGCTGGCCCACCCCTGCTTGCGACGAGGGTACCGGCGCTGGCTGCTGTTCGGTTGGACGGGTGTTTTCCCCAGTAAACGGCGAAGGTAGCGGCAGGGGGCAATAGCTACCAAGTAAAGCCAAGATTCGAGGAATCGAAAGGCAGATATGTATCACTACACACAACATATGAATCATGTCGTTTTACGTAGATTGCAATGACACGCTTCCTTTTTTCTCGGATACTTGACTATCGTTGCTCTCAGGGAGCGCAAGTCGAGGCCGTTCAAGTCTGTCAGAACCCCCCGCCCCCTGTGAAAGGGTCTAGCCCCAAAGGAGCATGGTTTTCGACCTTCAAAGGTTTCCATGTTTGTGAATGGGAGGGTATTGGAATTGTCCTAAACCTTGCCATCCCTTGTCATGCTTGCAGTCAAGACCTCAGGTGGACGATTCAAACCGACTCTCAGTCAATGCCCATAGGATCCTGTCACCAGTACGTCAGGTGGATATAAGGGCAATCACCAGAAGTTATAAGCCACTCGAGATGACCCACTTGCTTGACGCGAGAAAAGATCTCTCAACGAGAAAAGGTGGCTGCAGGAACGGGGGCTTTGTTTATAAACCTCTGAATCTGGCCTTTAAGGCCTTATCCATGGCTTGCCCGCGCTTGCTCTGGCAGGAATTGCCCAGCCCATCATCCATGCCTACTAGGATTCCATTTAAATGTCACGGTCAACGAACATGTTGAATTGGAGTGGTTGGTCAATCAACTCGCTTTGGGATGTTGGACCATTGTAACGGGATGTTTTTTTTGGGCTACCCTTGGTCAGGTAACCCTTCGTTGGTGGTTTGGATTGGTGGTTTGGGGATTTGAACCCTTGGTTTTTGTAGAGGGTAAATGGGACCCCTTCCTTAAAGGGGAGCCCTTTTTGCTGATGGTTAAAAGGGGTCCGTATGGGTCCGTAAGGAACACCCTAATTGTTTGGGTTCCCCTAAACAAAGACACACCCATATGGCATATTCGAACTAGACGCAGGTTGAGGTCTTCGTAAACGTGGACGGTGACGTACAAAAATGTTTGCCCACGGCGCTGCACTCAGATAGGGGGGAGTCGAGTCTGGTTTTCCCGTGTTTAGTCACCGGCGAGGAAAAATGGTCGCTTTCCGGCTTTGGTTTGATCATTTAAATATTTGTATTTTTTCCAGGGAGCTTCAGATTCACCAAATGGAAGAGGTGCGATCCCATGAATGGACGAGGTTCGACTTTTAGACACGTTTAATACCGTGTATTCCTTATCAATCACCTCAGCTTTGGCTCTGGGGGCAAGGAACACTCGAGATATGAGCAACTGACAATGCACATTTGGTGCGCTCTGACCTGTTTGATCATTGTCGGACAAGTTTGTAGGCAAAAACGTTTGCTGACAAATGTTTGCGTCGGTTTATAGACACTTGGACCTTTATGAATAGAACCAATCAACAACTTGTGCATGTGAACAACTAGTCGAACTAGTTAATTAGTGAATTCTGACCAACAGAAACATATATTCCCCTCGTTTACCAACGTAACTGCGCCCACACACACACACACACACAACAATGCGTGAGATGGAAAGATTCAAGAGCGGAGGACTGTTAGAGGGGAATGAACCCAAAAGGGACTGGGCCCCTCGGACTTGTCTCTGGAAGGCCCCTACTGTGTTTTTGCTCTTTTGTTTGAGCCATCCCGCAGCCTCACCGTGAGTAATGCAAACACCGCCGAATGGATGAGGACGGGGGATTGGCCGGCAAGGCGCCCTTCACCATATGGATCCCGCAAACGAGAAGGTGACCAGACACTTTTTGAAAGATTGGTTTTGCCGTTGGTTTTGGTTGTTTATCTGGTCCTCCTTCTCAGGTTGCCGGACTCACCGGGGTCAGCACCTGGGCTTCAGACTTGTGGACTTGTCCCGATCCGGAAGCTCAGGCCGAAGAGTACCGAGAGGCGCCGCTCCGGTTGCCCGGGGTGGGCCTGGGGTAAGCCACCACGAAGCAGCCGACCACCGCCCACTGCACAACCGGGGGACAACCGAACAGCAAAAACCACAAGCGGCACATCCAAAAGTTGCTGACCTTGAAAAGGCCTGCTTTAGACGACCGTTTTGGGGGTGAATACAAAGCCCAGGGCAGCTTCCAGAGAGGGGTGCTTGGATTGAAAGTGGCCCATCCCGGGAATCAAACACGACCATTGAGCATTTGGGTGGGAAGAGAAGGGAGCCCAAGATGGCATTTGTTCCTTTGTCCCGCTTGAAACACCCTCACCAAAAAACACGCCGACACACACCCAGCTTCCGGCCGCTTTTGGATGGCTTAAGCCTGAAGAAAACCATTTGGTGTAGCCCCCTGTTGGACAGCCTACTAATCTACTGGAGCGTCAGCAAGAAACCGAAGGCATTTCGTTCCGACGGGTGTGAAGGGAAAGGCCTGGTTGGTTTCCTTTGGGTCCTGGGTGCACAATTTGAGTGGACGCATGTCAACACACCTAAGGTTCGCGATGCTGTCCTTTCCAGACATGTTATAAATTTTGATGGGGAGGGTCCCACTTTGAGAACAAGCTTCCAACTTCACGTTGTTCCACCAGGTTTTGCTTCTTCAAGGGCTTTCAGAAAAGCTTCGCTGTTGAGGAACCAGGTGGGACGCTTCCCGGATCAAGACGGTCGACATGGGGTGGCTGGCACGGAGTCTGATCCACCGGGTTCCTCTTCCGGGGTCGACGTGGGTGTGGCTCTTGTTTTTTTTCAGGGCCAGGGTTACGCAGGTTCCATTTACCTACATTTACCAAGGTGCCATTTCCAATTACCCATGGAACCTACGTAATTTTCCATTTACCTAAATTTAGTCTTTGGTTCCATTTACCTTTTGGTGCCGTTTCGCTACATCTTTTTGAGCTACAGCACACACTGGTTTCTTGTTTGCGGCCAGATGCTCCTCCGCCTAGAAAGCGCTGCGCCGCACAAAGGCTGGGCCGTGCGGATGTCAAAGCCTCTCGCTCCCTCCATACGTGCCTTAGATGGTTCAGGATCACCTCTGCCAAATTCATCCCCGGAGATGACGAGGTTGCTGTCTGGATTTGCCTTTAATGCAAACCCAAAAGTTTGAGCCAGGGAATGTGGATCAAACGTCCAGATTGGGACTTGCGCTTGACAAGAATCCTAGGGGTGTTCCTTGTAATTGGTCCTTGACGAGAACCTTTCATTGATTGCTTTCGTTACACATGTTACACACTGGTTGGAGATGAGTGGCTTGTCCGTTCTAATGTTGGGTAGTGTTTCCTCAGACAAATGTGGTAAGAGCAAACTGGCGGTCAGAGCCGGGCGTATTGGTTTAGCATTCCTTTGAGCTGGTCATTGGGTTACGTAGTATTCGTGTGTACTGACTCGGTACCCTCTAGAATGGGTTTAGTATTGGCTTAGTATTCCTTTGTACTGGCCCCGAGGTGTGTGTGTGTGTATTTCTCTGTTCCCTACCCTCACAAAACTAGAAAATATTCCCTGTCCGGGGCTTCCCTGTACCCCCTTTCAATTTTGTTTGGGACGCTCATAAAGGATTAGCTGTTTGGGGCCTCAGTTAGTTTTGCTGGCCTATTAGGATTGGCTTAGTATTGTTTACTATTTGTCTAGTGTCGCTTTAGTATTAGTTACTTTTGGGTTGAGTATTGGTTCCTACTAATTTAGTATTGGTTTAGTACTCCTTTGTGCTGGCCGAGAGCTGCGTGTTTCCTCATTGTGCTAACCCTTAGCAGAAGAGCGACCGACCAATTATCCGACAATTGAATATCAGAACAGCCCAGATTTCGCTGCGAAACGAGATGGTCCCCCCAAATTGACGAGATCAGACGAGAGAGTTTTTGTAGACGTCCATGCAAAGCGATACTGTGGATGGACAAAATCGATTTCGCACCACTTTGAAACCATGGGAAGCCAGTGCTTGTTGGTATTTACAGGGTAATCGAATCATTCCAGGATTTCTTAGGTGGTGCGAAGTGGATTTCGTCCATGCACAGTATGAAACGAGATTGTTGATGATTGCACAGGTTTTGTTGTGCATGCCACCGGCTGTGCGCGCAAAAAGCAACCAAAAGGAGTCCAGAACGAGTCCCAAAACGAGTAACTGGAGCTACTTCGCAGACTGCCCTTGTACTGCCAAGGCTGTGCTTGAAGCGCACTTTGCGTACTACGTTTGTATTGCAGAGAATTGTTTTTGAGCAGGAGCTGGCAAGTGTGCTTCATACTGCACTTGAATGCTGAAAGGGCGTGATTTGTGAGCTTGAAGGCGCAGAAAACACAAAACGCTGCAAAACGAGATGGTCCCGACTTGGTTTGCGTATATGTGCGCAAATTTCGTTGCGGCATTCAGGAAGAAAAGATGATTGGGATGCAGCTTTATTCCCTTTCTGGGTCTCCGTGCACCAACCCTTTGAACATTTGTTTTGGAAGCTGTTTGCTAAAGTGTGTCAATGACATGGCTGTTTGGGGCCCTTTGTCGGTTCTGCTGGCTTAGGATTGGCTTAGTATTGGTTCTATTAGTCTCGTATTCGGCTAATGATAGATTTTGCATTGGTTGATATTAGTCGATTTTTGGTTTCGTGTTGTTGTATTGCCAGGGCTGGGAATCATGTTGTTTCCACACCTGCACGGGCAGCCATATTGCGACCAACGAAAAACACGTTTTGCATTCCCTACCCCTTCTTGTCAGCAACATAACACAATTTGGGAAGACGGTTTTAAATAGCCTCCCGATGGAATCGCTATCCAACTGGGAAACCAAATAGGTGCTTGATCCCATTTCGGGTTGGTGTGCTTTTGGCATATTCCCTGGGTTTCAACCGGATCAATTGTTTGTCATGTAACCCGGGTGTTTGCCCTTGGGACTTCCAATAGTCATATTTGTGTTGGGCATTGGTGCAACAGAGGTATGGGCTGCGCCCTGCTGCCCATGATATCAGCCCTGTTTCAATATTGATCCCTATTGGCAGTCCCTATATTTCTCTCAGCGCTTGTTGCATCACCTTATGGGCCACTTTTTCAAGAAGACTTTCCTCCTAGTGGGGTCATGTTGCAGGTGGAAATATAGGGAGCCCTGAAGTGATTCGAGCTGAAGGCTTTCTTGATTGCATGGTCACCGGTGAGCACATCAGTTTGCCAGCCACCAGCCTGATCTGCGGAGTCTTGCCAGTGCTTTGTGTTTGCAGCTGGGACCCTCCATCTTGTCTTTATCGGGGGACATATTTTTACCTAGCCAGGATTCGCATGGAGCCACCAAGCCCCCCGCATGCACGCACCCAGCCAACAATGCATGCATGCACCACACAAACAACATACATGCAGTAATTGATTTGTGTGTGGTCTTCCCTACACCCTCGTTATCCGGTTGCCAATTTTGGGTTGCCTCGAAATCTCGCACAGGGCTTGGATGAACTAGTGGATCCCAGGGTTTAGTCTAGCCAAGCAGTGATTTCTCCTTCAGCTTCGGCCGAAGCTGGAGGTTTTTGTTGTTTGTTTCTGTTTTCAAGGTGCTTCGCTTTACTCAGGGTCGCTCAAAGCAATCAACAAAACAAGATATCAAAACCTGAAGACGTGTCCTTTGGCTTTGCAAAAGAAGAATAGTTTTTGGTGCTTTGGTGGCTGTGTCTTAGCACCCTACCCATCTGACTTCTCGAAATTTTCTGGGTCAGGCCCGGAATCCGTCCGATCTTCCGGCTTCGGGGCTCGGATTCGGTCAGGGCGCCGGAAAGGCCTGTCAGAGTGCGGCGCTCAGTCTGGAAATCAAAAGATGTCGGTTTTTTTTGTCTGCCGGGTTTGCCAGTTTCTTGTTGTCTTTGTTTTTTTGGGAGACTCCCCCCCCCATTTTGTGTGGTGTTCTTTTGGTCTGCCTTTACCACCAAAAAAGGGGGCACCCTCAAAAAGGACGAGCCGCTGATATGTCCCTTAGTTTCAACATGACGACAGTTTGTGCGGTGGGATTTGCTTTACTTGGCATTGGCTGCACGCGTAAAACTTTGGAGAACCCCTGGGCGCCATCAGGTGCGTTTTCTTTTGATACCCCGAGGAAACCGGGCAAAGGGTTTCAAGGAGAAAGAAGAGCACCCGAAACGGGTGCCGTTTTGCTGGACAGTTCCCAGCCTTCCGTAGGTTTAAATAGTTTGAGGGTGTGGTTGAGTTTCGATTTCCAGTAAACGTCAAGGCCTTTCAGCAGGGGATCGATCTCGTCTTTTTGTTTTTGATTAAAGGGAGACAAGGACGTCCTCCCATCATAGTTGTTGTTGGGAAACATTTTACATTTTTGCTTCTTGTGGTTTAGTGGTTGAAATCCAACCACTTAACTGCTGATTTTTCTTTTTTTGCTGCCCAAACCCAACGTCAACCAAGCCATGTTGACACATCATCTGTCACAGAAAACCCATCAGAAGATCCAATCAATCGCCGCTGGCCAGCCGGAGACGTGAAATGGTCTGTCTCATTGAACCGGGCGCCGCCCAATTTTTGCTTGGTGGTTTCCCTTCCCGTTCAATTTAACAGTAATTTAACAATGCAACCCAAAAATTAAAGACCCCCCCAAGAAAAAGAAGAAGAACGAAGAGGACAATCAACACTAAAAGCAACAACCACCCAAACCTGTAAACCAGAACAAGCCGCCAGTCACTTCGCTCAAATACGGGGGAGAAAAAACAAAGAAAACACAACTTTTGCATGTCCTGAGAACAAGATGCCGTGGCGCTTCACACTCCCAAGGTTTGTGGACTTATGCTGCGCTGGCAGGGCGCGGCCGAACCCCCACATCAAGGCGAGGCGTCAAAAGGGCTCCCAATGTTCCTTTTTGTGGAGGGTTTCCGTGCAAAAAAAATCTAACCACCCCAAAAAGAGAGAGAGAGAGCGGGGCCCTCTTTCCCTTCTGGCCACTGGGGAAATGCCTGTCTGCTGGGTTGTGATATCTTTTAGCGGCAGAGGGGTTGACCTTTGCCGGCGATTTGACCGTTTTCCTTTTTGGAGCTCCATCCGCCAGCGGTCCATCCGCGAATCGGGGGTTTGTGGCTGGAGGAGTTGGCCGGAGCGGCTCGGGTTCCAAGAGGCCTCCTATTCTTTGTGATTCGGATGGTTGAAATCGAAATCCCTTCGCAACGCACCACCTAAACCCTGCAAATTGAAACGGGAGAAATATTGTGGATGGTCATTTTGAAACCATGGGAAACCATAAGGCTTGTTGGTAGAAAACAGGGGAATCGAATCATAAACCAGGGTTTCTTAGGTGGTGCGAAATGGATTTCGTCCATCCACAGTATGGGACCTATTGTTTATTTGCCCAAAAGGGACCAAAAAGGGTATGTGCAAAAAAGATACAATCTCCAGACCCTCTATTTAGCACCCAGTTGGGTGGGGAAGGGTCAAAGTCAACCATTGATTCTGCCCCTCTTATTTTGATATACACCATATCCACCTGACCACTAAGCAGCGTGTCAACAAAACTGCAGCAAGCCTTCAAGCGGATGGCTTCGTGTGGCTTCCTTTGACCTCAACATCGCCCGGCGGCGGGGTACGAACCCCCACAAGAGACGACTTCGCAACCGTCTCAACTCAGTTGCTTTCGAGGGAAATGATTAGTCCTTGGAAGAAGTCCTCAAAGCAAGCAAGGTCCAAGCAACATGGGTCTCTACCGAAATTTGGCCCGAAGTTCAACTCATCTACAAAGCTGTCTTTGCTTCATCGACTAGATGTCCAGTTTCAGAGGTCTCCTTTTACCAACACTTGATCTGCAGCATGCTGGAGCCGCATGGATCACCTGCAGGAGATCCTTGTGAGGTTCCATGAGACGACTTTTGATGACTTTTGGATGGCTTTTGGGTATCGAGGCCCTAGAAGTCGTGTTGATTTCTCCGTAGGCAGCCTACCAGCAGAATCGGCGTGTCTTCCAGAAGCAGAGGGGGCCGTGCACCATGGCCTGACTGGACGTGCTTGAACAATGTTTTTATGCCAGTTGCCCAGAGGTGCCCTTTATCAACTGGGTGCGTCGTTTCTGAGGGGACCTCTGTTTTTAGGGGCGTTCCCCCCAAAACAACTGGATGCTACGATGCTACACCCGAGATGTCCAAGCTAGGTGCAAGCTGGAGCGAGTTTGTTAGGAGCCCCTTGTAGGAGGGGACCCCATTGAACGAAGCTCTCCCATTTAAGTTCGGTATGCGGGCTTTGCGACCTGGAACAGTGTCTTTTTTGTGATCCCCGATTTTTCGACCGACGACTTTCTGATTTTGCCCTTTGCCCAACACTATGGAAGGACAGTGGCCTTCCCATCGAGGGCATCGTAATTCACATTAATTCACTGTCAAGGTCTTAAGCACTGTGATGGTTAAATGGGTTGGCTTCTCAGGCACACCAGCAGGAGACCATTCTCCTCTACCAAGTTGTGTGCAAGCTGATTTCATCGTTGTTTTTTCTCGAAACGGCGCCCTGTTGTTGGAAACACGCACGTGAACAGTGGTCCATATTCATGCACTACAAGCCTACAATTCCAAGCACACGAGAACCAAATCATAGATAGCTGGCCTACTTACAAACAAATGGTTGAAGAATCAACATCGGCTGTGTTTTTGTTTATCGTCAACACTGTCATTGGGAATTGAGGAAACTTAAAACCCTGTAGGGTCAGAGTTGCATGTTCAGACTGCCCCAAGGTAGACCTAACCCAGGGGTTTTACTTTTGGGGAACTCAACCACTCCTGGGTTTAAGTCTACCTTGCGGCAGTAAACAAATGGACACCTGATTGTATAGTTATCTCTTGAGCGGCCATGACCCGCATAACCATGAGTGTGGGACTCAGCAAACATGCGAGGTTGCGTTCTGGCACTAACGGGATTCAGCCCACGCCCACTAACAGCCGGCAAGCACGGGTATGTATTTTATTGGATGTTTTCTGTTTAGCTGTCAACCACAAAACGGTGCCTCTCAAAAAACAGACACATTGACATGCGCCAGTTAGTTTTTTTGAGAAAGTAGATGAGGGACAGGCGGCACCCAAGCCGTATGTGCGGGCAGAGGAGAAGCCCACAGTAAGGCCTTATCGGGTGAATAGGTTGTCCAGCCTCGAAATGGGAAGTTCATGACAGGTCGTGCGGTTTTGCAAGGCTTGTTGTTTATCAGATTGCAAGATTGCCAATAATGCCCCCAAATGGCAGGCCTCAGAAACACAGCGCAGAAGTTCAGCGGTGCTGTGTTTGGTGGCTTCCCCTACTAAACATTGTCAACAAGCCAAGAGGGTTCCCTTTTCGACCAGAGTCATGTTCCGTCCTTTTCGGAGGGCTGTGAGGGGCCACGGAATTCGTTGGCATCCGAGGCACAAACATGTACGCCTGGAACTGAGCTTTCGCTTGACCTGTTTTGGGAGCGTGCAAGTCGACCAACTTTGGACAGCTGGCTGTGTGTCTACGGATGCTTTTGGGGTCGCGCTTGCGTGACCCTCCAGGTGAGTTTGGGGCCGGGGCCTAGCAACTCTGTCCCTGTTTTCCCATGAGCTTGTGCCTCGGCAGACCCCAGCTAAACCGGCTCTATGAAGGGGTGTTCCCCTCCAAAACACAAGAAACCATGGGTGAATTATAACGACCTCACACGACCTCACTCCAAATAGTGGTTTATGTGGGGAATAGCCCCCGAACCACCTTATTTAAGACCCGTGAAATATAATGATTCACCCAGAAGAAAGAGGACACCCCTTGCAAATCTATCCCTAGGCAGGCAGGACCTGAGAGGAGACTCTCGATGAGACTCACGGCTTTTGGTTCGCGCCAGGAGATTGCGAAGGGCTATCCGGGGAACCCCCGTGTCTTTGAGTGCTGGCCTCGGAGGGAGGGGAAATTGTGAGCCATTTCCCTATAAAGGGATGTTCCAATGGTGACAATGTTCGATGAAATAACTAACATTTAACAATGTTTACTCTGTATCTCAAAATGACTGTTCCAAGGATATTATGAATTCAGTGATGCAATGAAGACCACCCAGAAAAATGATCAACTTTCGATTTGGGGACATCCAGTGACCCTGTCAGAGAGATCGCTGGGTATCGCTTGAATCAATCTCGAATCGCTTGAATTGGGGGGATATAGATTGGCTGCACCTCGCCTAAAAACATGACAGACGCCGCCGAGGACTTGAAGACTTGAAGACAGGCCGCCCAAAGGACCCCCCAAAGACGGAACACGGCCCCACGATTTTCACCGTTCGGGGGATGGATGGGTCAGAATCCCCGGCCTTTCCCCCAGAACAAGGGGTGAATTTGGAGGAAAAATGGGGAGGCCGAACCACACGAGACAAAGATCCCCCAAAGTTTCAAAGACCCTGTGGGTTTGGCCTGTGTGCCTTGTTGAACATACTGTCGCAGCCTTGCCAGCTTCGTCACCTTGCGCCAAAATGGAAGCGCTTTCGGAGGCCCCTTCATCAAGACGGAGGTCTGGGGTGAGCGGGAGGTCCTTTGGATCCCCGAATTAAGGAGGTCCAGGCAGACGATCCGGGAGGGTTTGGGCGGCGGAGGAGGTGGACACGACATCCAGGCGGCAGAAGACGGGAGTGGCGTCCGTGGCTTGCGCCACTCGCGCTCGCGAACCCTGCGGCCAGCTGGAGCGAGCCAAGCGCGAGGCAAACGGATTGCGATGCTTCAAGGCCATGCGCGCGCTCAAACAACCGCTGTCGGGCCTGGAAGGCGGTTCTACCTAGTTGAAATGGATTAATATAAAGCCTTGTACACCTCCAGAGTATGTTATAGCCCAGAGTCAATGAGTTTCAATGATCTGTTAGAAGCCCCTTATGGGAGGGTCCCAGCCCAACCTTCGACCATCCTTTGGTTGGGTATCTTCGGAGAGTTTACACAGGCCCCAAATGCCGGCCTTCCCCTACTGGCTATGATTGTTAGCGTGCATGAAGAGGCACCTATTTCGTCCATTTCCCCACCGGCTTCCACAGCTCAAGAGTAGTTCCCTCTAGATTTTCGGGTTGGAGCAACCTTGACGTCCTGCTTTTGGTTTGCCTTTCGAGGAAGTTGCCATAGATTCGGAGCTTTGGCCATGCTGGGATGCCATGGGCTCCGGAGGTCACTTTCAGAACAGGTGTGAATGGGGGGATTTGTTAGAAGATGTAGGCTGGTTTAACAGTATTATAGATCGAAGGTGGTGCTATCGGCAATTCCGACATGTTGGAATGGACAGATATCACCGAGTATTATCAATGTGTCGTATGGTGGGAATGGGGAATTCTCCGACTCCGGATACCCAGCTTTTGTGGCTATATGTTAAAGACCTAGCTAAAAAGTGCGGTAAGCGCTACCTTGTAGGGACACCTACAAAGCTTGCTCGTGCTCAGGGAGTGTGGGAATGACCCTTATAAACTATCCAACTGGTGGTTTCCTTTCAGGGGACCCCTGGCCTGGGTTCATTCAACCACATTTCGTATCGCAGCAGCCAGAAAACCAACAAACACAACAATTGAATCCCTACCCATCCCTTGTGGTTTCCTTTCAGGGGACCCCTGGCCTGGGTTCATTCAACCACATTTCGTATCGCAGCAGCCAGAAAACCAACAAACACAACAATTGAATCCCTACCCATCCCTTGTGGTTTCCTTTCAGGGGACCCCTGGCCTGGGTTCATTCAACCACATTTCGTATCGCAGCAGCCAGAAAACCAACAAACACAACAATTGAATCCCTACCCATCCCTTGTGGTTTCCATAAAAGGGGACCCTGGCCTGGGTTCATTCAACCACATTTCGTATCGCAGCAGCCAGAAAACCAACAAACACAACAATTGAATCCCTACCCATCCCTTGTGGTTTCCTAAAGGGGACCCGTGGCCTGGGTTCATTCAACCACATTTCGTATCGCAGCAGCCAGAAAACCAACAAACACAACAATTGAATCCCTACCCATCCCTTGTGGTTTCCATAAAGGACCCGTGGCCTGGGTTCATTCAACCACATTTCGTATCGCAGCAGCCAGAAAACCAACAAACACAACAATTGAATCCCTACCCATCCCTTGTGGTTCCATAAAAGGGACCCGTGGCCTGGGTTCATTCAACCACATTTCAGATCGCAGCAGCCAGAAAACCAACAAACACAACAATTGAATCCCTACCCATCCCTTGTGGTTTCCATAAAGGGGACCCGTGGCCTGGTTCATTCAACCACATTTCGTATCGCAGCAGCCAGAAAACCAACAAACACAACAATTGAATCCCTACCCATCCCTTGTGGTTTCCATAAAAGGGGACCCGTGGCCTGGGTTCATTCAACCACATTTCGTATCGCAGCAGCCAGAAAACCAACAAACACAACAATTGAATCCCTACCCATCCCTTGTGGTTTCCATAAAAGGGGACCCGTGGCCTGGGTATCAACACATTTCGTATCGCAGCAGCCAGAAAACCAACAAACACAACAATTGAATCCCACCCATCCCTTGTGTTTCCATAAAAGGGGACCCGTGGCCTGAGTTCATTCAACCACATTTCGTATCGCAGCAGCCAGAAAACCAACAAACACAACAATTGAATCCCTACCCATCCCTTGTGGTTTCCATAAAAGGGGACCCGTGGCCTGGGTTCATTCAACCACATTTCGTACGCAGCAGCCAGAAAACCAACAAACACAACAATTGAATCCCTACCCATCCCTTGTGGTTTCCATAAAAGGGGACCCGTGGCCTGGGTTCATTCAACCACATTTCGTATGCAGCAGCCAGAAAACCAACAAACACAACAATTGAATCCCTACCCATCCCTTGTGGTTTCCATAAAAGGGGACCCGTGGCCTGGGTTCATTCAACCACATTTCGTATCGCAGCAGCCAGAAAACCAACAAACACAACAATTGAATCCCTACCCATCCCTTGTGGTTTCCATAAAAGGGGACCCTGGCCCTGGGTTCATTCAACCACATTTCGTATCGCAGCAGCCAGAAAACCAACAAACACAACAATTGAATCCCTACCCATCCCTTGTGGTTTCCATAAAAGGGGACCCGTGGCCTGGGTTCATTCAACCACATTTCGTATCGCAGCAGCCAGAAAACCAACAAACACAACAATTGAATCCCTACCCATCCCTTGTGGTTTCCATAAAAGGGGACCCCTGGCCTGGGTTCATTCAACCACATTTCGTATCGCAGCAGCCAGAAAACCAAACACAACAATTAACCCTACCCATCCCTTGTGGTTTCCATAAAAAGGACCCCTGGCCTGGGTTCATTCAACCACATTTCGTATCGCAGCAGCCAGAAAACCAACAAACACAACAATTGAATCCCCACCCATCCCCTTGTGGTTTCCATAAAGGGGACCCCTGGCCTGGGATTGTTCAACCACATTTCCGTAGCAGCAGCCAGAAAACCAACAAACACAACAATTGAATCCCTACCCATCCCTTGTGGTTTCCATAAAAAGGGGATCCCTGCCTGGGTTCATTCATCAACCACATTTCGTATCGCAGCAGCCAGAAAACCAACAAACACAACAATTGAATCCTACCCATCCCTTGTGGTTTCCATAAAAGGGGACCCTGGCCTGGGTTCATTCAACCACATTTCGTATCGCAGCAGCCAGAAAACCAAAACACAACAATTGAATCCCTACCCATCCCTTGTGGTTTCCATAAAAGGGGACCCCTGGCCTGGGTTCATTCAACCACATTTCGTATCGCAGCAGCCAGAAAACCAACAAACACAACAATTGAATCCCTACCCATCCCTTGTGGTTTCCATAAAAGGGGACCCCTGGCCTGGGTTCATTCAACCACATTTCGTATCGCAGCAGCCAGAAAACCAACAAACACAACAATTGAATCCCTACCCATCCCTTGTGGTTTCCATAAAAGGGGACCCTGGCCTGGGTTCATTCAACCACATTTCGTATCGCAGCAGCCAGAAAACCAACAAACACAACAATTGAATCCCTACCCATCCCTTGTGGTTTCCATAAAAGGGGACCCCTGGCCTGGGTTCATTCAACCACATTTCGTATCGCAGCAGCCATAAGTCTAAACAAACACAACAATTGAATCCCTACCCATTTCTTGTGGTTTCCATAAAAGGGGACCCTGGCCTGGGTTCATTCAACCACATTTCGTATCGCAGCAGCCAGAAAACCAACAAACACAACAATTGAATCCCTACTCCATCCCTTGTGGTTTCCATAAAAGGGGACCCGTGGCCTGGGTTCATTCAACCACATTTCGTATCGCAGCAGCCAGAAAACCAACAAACACAACAATTGAATCCCTACCCATCCCTTGTGGTTTCCATAAAAGGGGACCCGTGGCCTGAGTTCATTCAACCACATTTCGTATCGCAGCAGCCAGAAAACCAACAAACACAACAATTGAATCCCTACCCATCCCTTGTGGTTTCCATAAAAGGGGACCCCTGGCCTGGGTTCATTCAACCACATTTCGTATCGCAGCAGCCAGAAAACCAACAAACACAACAATTGAATCCCTACCCATCCCTTGTGGTTTCCATAAAAGGGGACCCCTGGCCTGGGTTCATTCAACCACATTTCGTATCGCAGCAGCCAGAAAACCAACAAACACAACAATTGAATCCCCACCCATCCCCTTGTGGTTTCCATAAAAGGGGACCCCTGGCCTGGGTTCATTCAACCACATTTCGTATCGCAGCAGCCAGAAAACCAACAAACACAACAATTGAATCCCTACCCATCCCTTGTGGTTTCCATGTGCTGGGACCCTGGCCTGGGTTCATTCAACCACATTTCGTATCGCAGCAGCCAGAAAAACCAACAAACACAACAATTGAATCCCTACCCATCCCTTGTGGTTTCCATAAAAGGGGACCCCTGGCCTGGGTTCATTCA